CTGACCACGAGGAAAAAGTTCCATAAAAACCTGGCAGAAGTTCCTAAGAGTGGGGCAATAAAGGGTACATATTACCGACTTCCTCGCCTACTTCAAGCTCCTAGACGTATTTCACATCTGCAAAGCTCACACATTATGAATCAATGAGCCTCTTCAGCTTCAATGGTCCTTCCGCTGAAGCCGAAGAGCTTCAAACGTAGGAGGTTTATGTATAGTGAAACACGGTGTAAAAAGAAAAAAGGCTCTGCCATTCTGATACTTGTGATCTCCCAAAAAATCGAAACAAAACTGGATAGAATTTTTCTTTAACGAGCTTTGCCTGGCCACTGTTATGAAAAAAAGTTGTCAAAATGAACTCAATGCCCTTCAACGACATGTTAGCGACCATGTACCTTCGCACTCATCCTAACAAATAGTTCCTTGTTTCTGGAAGTTGAAAACGAAATGTAACTCACACTCCTTTCCTCAACTGTACTTCCACATGCGGTTTGAACATCCTCTTCTTCCCATTCGAGCAAGGCGAGCAGTCACCATTCAATTTACAATTCTGTACTGCTTTTATTGAACCATTCATTTCATCCGGAATCATATCTTAAACACATGATCTTTAATAAAGCAGCCAGTATAGACAAATTTGAAAAATTTCACATAAATTAGTAAAGCGAACTTGTGGAAAACTATTCGGAGTAATGTGACGATTTCAAATAACTATGTTTCGCGCCATCATAGTTGGCCGTAGAGCGCGGAATCTGCTGACGGGTCGCTTCTGTTTCACCTACAACAGCATTAAATCGCAAATCTTCTTGGCCAAAGAATGCAACCAATTGGCGGCATTGTGATCTCCTGAGAGATCTGAACAAGTGTCGTCCGCATACAGTCCAACCCAATAAAAGCTTAGGATGTGTACTTACTAGCAAACTGTAAGCTTGTAACAAGTTGTAAGCTTGGAGCCATGGTTGTTAATCACTCTATTCGACTGACATTATTGTCGTTTCTTCAGAGCTCAGTCGTGAGGCGTTCACGAAATCATTTTCAAAACTATAGGTAGAGCTCAAGAAGGTCGTAAACTGTTAAAATGACGTCCTGGAAGGAACCTTCAGGAAAACCGACTGGTCTTTTTCTTCTGGTCATCGATCCCCACCTGTTACTTGAATACGCACACTGGCAAGAGGAGAATAAAACTTCCGCCATTGATCAATCCTTTCCGGCTTGCAGCATGCATTCCACTTCCATTTAGAATTGCAGCATCATGCACAGTACGATATGGCCCACACAAAAATGTGCAAGTCAATGCTTTTTACCCTCCCAGGCGAACTTGGAACCAGTTCACCGTCCCGGGGGATAGAGGGCTTGATGCCTTAGGTGGGAGGTGATCCAGGATTTGACTCCCGCACCGCACCCGTGGTAAACGACCCACGTGCCAGGGCACACCGTTGTTGGGGACTCTCCAACAATGTTGGGGATTCCCCAATAGGGGGGAGGGGGGCGGGTCGTATTTGGTTGCTGGGAGAGGGGGGAGGGGTCGTATTTGGGCTGAGAAAAGTCTTTTGACAGTTGATTTTGCTTGCTTCAGAGACGTTGTGAAGGGGGGGGAAATCTAAGCAAAGAAATTGTAGAAAGGAGGTCGTATTCCCCTCACGTTCGTCAAATGAGGAGGGAACCAGGGGGAGGTGTCATATCGGACTCGACCAAAATCCCCAGCCATTGATGTGACTTGGCTACTGCACCGTACTCTACACTTCCCTGAGACACGGTAAGCGTGGCTGTAGTTCATTTGAACGCAGTGTGAGATGGTTTATTCGCAGGGTATGTTACTTTGAGACAACTGTCAAGTTGTCTTGTGTTGGACAAAAACATGCTTACAATTGACCTTAAATGAAAGTATCTGATCGCGCAAAGCGCAGCCGGTACCACATTCAAATGAAGCACACGACCACACCTGGGTATCGATCATCTTAGGGATATGGAGCATACACGGAAGTGGAGAGAAATATGTAACTCCGCTAGAAGGTTGGCGATTGACTCTGTGAACCGTAGGATTAATAGTCTAGAGCCAACAGTTGTTCGAGGTTGAGTTCTTGATTGAAGATGATGGGTTTATACGGCTCAGATAGTAATAACAAGGTAGTAGGTGATTCAGTAGTGAAGAAAGAAGCGGACAACTTCATGGGATAGCTATACAGCTCTATAGAACCTTGAACTGAGCTTGTACGTGCAGAAGGCGATGAAAAGGTGTGGCCGGACGAGATCCCAGTTGTTAGTATCAGCTCTTTCTCCTTATAACCATTTTCTCATCATTAGGAATGGAGGGAGTTATGTACTAGCAGAATAACCCATACCATCTTAAAAATGAAAGTTAGGTATTACGGCAGTCAGTGGGCGGAGCGGCAGTTCCTTTATTATCGGGCGGTACTTTCCTCTTGTATTTTTGTGCTGCAAGTTGAGTAATCTGCTATCCTTGCAGGGAGGGCAACCATATCCAAAAAAAGCGTGGGAACATTAAATGAACGCGGGCTATACCTTCAAGCAGTACATTTCGCCCTGTTCTTAGCCCTAGTACAAATTGATCTGCCTTCACCGAGGGTTGAAATGTTCGCTCTGATCAAAAGCACATATGGCCCCCATAGCGAACTGTGGCGCGTAGGTAATACTCCAACTCCCAACGTTACTTTTTAATTGTTGCCTGATGGCTATAGCTAAAGGAACATCCCCACTATGCCGGATCGCATCATGGTGTCAGGGTGTCGAGTGTCACACGCGCGACAA